TTCCCTTTTCCCCAGCTCCTGCCAGTGGATGGACATCAAACAATATTAAACCACCTGTAACAACTGCCCCGAGTGAAAAATTTGTGACAGCACCTCAGCTAAATGAGCAAGACACGTTGGTTCAGAGGGCAGAGCATATTCCAGCGGGAAAGCGTACTCCCATGTGTGCGCACTGTAATCAAGTCATAAGGTTTGTATCTGTTTTCTGGGTATACTCTTAGCTGGGTAAAAAACTGGCTGGATGGCCAGGCCCAAAGGCTTGTGGTGAATGGAGCTAAATGCAGCTGGTGGCCAGTCACAAGTGGTGTTCCCCAGGGCTCAGTACTGGGGGAGGCCAAGTCTCTTTAATTTCTTTATCAGTGATCTGGACGAGGGGATCGAGTGCACCCTCAGTAAGTTTGCAGACGACACCAAGTTGGATGGGAGTTGAACGGCTTGAGGGTAGGAAGACTCTACAGAGGGATCTGGACAGGCTGGATCGATGGGCCGAGGCCAACTCTATGAGGTTCAACAAGGCTCAGTGCCGGGTCCTGCGCTTGGGTCACAACAACCCCATGCAGCACTACAGGCTTGAGGCAGAGTGGCTGGAAAGCTGCCCAATTGAAAAGGACCTGGGGGCGCTGATCTGCAGCCAGCTGAATATAGGCCAGCATGGTGCCCAGGTGGCCAAGAAAGCCAATAGCGTCCTGGCTTGTATCAGCAATAGTGTGGCCAGCAGGACTAGGGCAGTGATTGTCCCCCTGTACTGGGCACTGGTGAGGCCGCACCTCGAGTCCTGTGTTCAGCGTTGGGCCCCTCACTACAAGACAGACATTGAGGTGCTGGAGCCTGTCCAAAGAAGAGTAACAAAGCTGGTGAAGGGTCTAGAGCACAGGTCTTACAAGGACCAGCTGAGGGAACTGGGGTGGTTTAGTCTGGAGAAGAGGAGGCAGAGGGGAGACCTTATGGCTCTCTGCGACTACCTGAAAGGAAGGTTGTAGCCAGGTGGTTGTCGGTCTCTTCTCCCAAGTAACAAGTGATAGGACAAGAGGAAATGGTGTTAAGTTGTGCCAGGGGAGGTTTAGATATTGGATATTAGGAAAAATTTCTTCACTTCAAAGAATTATCAATCATTGGAACAGGCTGCCCAGGGAAGTGGTTGAGTCACCATCCCCGGAGGTATTTATAAGGTTTGTAGACGTGGTGCTTAGGGACATGGCTTAGTGGAGGACTTGGCAGTGCCAGATTAACGGTTGGAGTTGATGATCTTAAAGGTCTTTTCCAACCTAAACGATTCTATGATTCTATGATTTTATTCATCCTGCAGGCTCTCTGCAGCAGGGTTTTGTTTTGCTTTCATGGTTTTTGATTCCTTAGTCACAAGTGTTTTAAGGCTTCATTTCAATAATCACGAGATCACAAGAACGGTAGGGGTTGGAAGGGACCTCTGGAGATCATCTAGTCAGCCTTTCCACCATGGGTTTTTGCAGCCTCTTGAGCCCTGGCTTGGATTCTGCATCAGAAGATGCAGCTAACTCACATCACTTCATCTCTAGTGGTCAATTGAGTCCAGCTTATCATAGAACCATAGAATGGTTAGGGTTGGAAGGGACCTTAAAGATCATCTAGTTCCAACCCCCCTGCTGTGGGCAGGGACACCCTCCACTAGACCACGTTGCCCAAAGCCTCATCCAACCTGGTCTTAAACACTTCCAGGGATGGGGCCTCCACAACCTCTCTGGGCAACCTGTTCCAGTGCCTCACCACTCTCACAGTAAAGAATTTCTTTCTAACATCTAATCTAAATCGACCCTCCTTCAGCTTAAACCCATTACCCCTTGTCCTGTCACTACACTCCCTGACAAACAGTCGCTCACCATTTTTCCTGTAGGCCCCCTTCAGGTACTGGTAAGCCGCAATTAGATCTCCCTGGAGCCACCTTTTCTCCAGGCTGAACAACCCCAACTCTCTCTTGTTTACTTCCATTAGGTTTCTGTTCTGATAGTTCAATACCAGTTCAGTTAACATCAAGTTAATTTTAAAGGACTGTTTGCTAACTGATCTGTGATGGCTTGAAGAAGCTTTTCCTCTTCTATTGTATGTATCAAGGAGATAAATATATATGATCTGAATCCCCTTGAAGCAATAGAAAATCTTATACAAATTTCCAACATAGGTGCACATCTTTTCTAATCCAGATTTTTTGCTTCACTGCAAAATGGAAGATTAATATCAAAAAGGTCTACACACTTTTGGGATGAGATTCATCTGATTCATTGAACAGCTTGGCCTATACGATCGTTCTGTCTGTAATTAGTATTCTGACCTTTTTGTTCCCTGGGCTATGGATTTGGATTTGTGTCTAGTAAATAACATGCAAGCAACCGTGCATTTCCCTTCTTGTTACTGTCATTTCAGTTTAAAACCAAAAATAGCAAATCCACTATATGCTGCGTCTTGCATGCAAATAAACTTCAGTGACTTTTACAGCACCCGTGGTTTATCAGAGTTCACTGATGCTCTGTGCCATGGGGTCTCACAGCACAGTCCACAGATCACTCCTGAGCAGCCAACCTCTCCTCTCGGCCCTTAAACCACTTGCTGCTACTCCAGGCTTTCCTGCTTTGATCACCATTAAAAAGGAGATGAGCTCCCACCCTGTGAGTAGGCAAGTGTGTTGGTCCATGGAGCAACCTTTGCTCTTTAGTGGATGCATGAGGAGAAACTGCCGAGCCCTACTTGACAGTACTTAAGCCATTGTCACCTATTGTAAGTGACACCTCTTCATGAATAGTAATTGATACCCATGTCTAACTTCTTTGTAATTTCCTGGTGGTGTTTAAATCCTTATATTTCTTCATATGTTAAATGCCACCTCAATTATTAAAAGCAAAGCAAGCATTGTTTCATTCAAGGATGAGTTGACATGCATTAATCAATGCTGAATATGCCTCCTGTTCACAGCATACAGTGGATTTGAAAGATTGCAATAGTATTTGAATTCAAGTTTTAGCATAATTACAGTTCATGCCCTTAGTGGTAGTGTTACCTATGAAAAGGTAGGAGCAGGCTCAAGTGACATTGCATTGTACATCTGTTTTGAAGCCAAAAGGCATTGCAGAGTTGGTTACTTTACACTCAGGCATAGAATAACCATGGCTGGTTGAGCCACAACCATTTCTTAGAGACATCTTATAACTTTTTAATATATCTTTAATTATTCATACAGTGATTGAAGATTCCATTGTTTTTCCAAAGCTTTTCTTTCAAGTAAGCTTTTCTTTCCACGTCTAAGAATCAAAGCTGGAGGCAAACACAATTTCCCATGATCTACTTGCTGTGGCGGTCTGACAAACTTCTGACATTTCCTGATGAAGACTTCTGGCTCCCAGGCAGTCTTATCGAGTGCTGCAGGGCAGAGTTGGCTCTTCCTCTGAAATCCAAATGTGTTTTCCCTGGATCTCCATTGAGAACATGCTCTTTGGCGTGTCTGCTTGTGAATGATGATTTGGCTTTGTCACCTTTTCATACAGCTTAATTGTTTTTAAAGGCAAAAGGAGAAAGTACGAATGGCGCTTCCCTCCAGCTTCTCCTATACAGAAATTATATATTATGGCATTTTCTAGTGAGGAGAAGAATAAACTTCCCAGAGTGCAGACTGCTGTATGGTTAACTGTAAAGTGATTGGCCTACTTAGCAGATGTGGAAATCTTTTTGATCTCTCTACCACCAAATTTCAGTTCTGGCTTGCTATCATAATAAAAGCCACATGAGAAGCTAGATTATCAGCATACTAATACATCCTGACCTATATCATTGCTACATGCAGAACCCAGATGTTTTAGGTGGCTACTAAATTTATGTACCTGGTGATCCTTTGGGACATAAGATTTTGAAATACTGTTGTAAATAGATCAGAATCCCTTTTAAAAAAAATAATTACTACTATTTGCCTTCATCTGTGAGTTTGGTTCACGTGGTCTAGATGGTGATGCCAGAAATTTGTTCAGAAATGCTTAGCATGTCAAAGTAGCCTGGGATAGAGGCATGTTCATAGTTGGATCATCCCATATCTTTGGATGGAAGGAATGTGGGGTTTTAGCACCACCTTTAAAAATATTTTCTAGTTGACAGAGGCATGTGGGATTTTTTAACTGTATTTTTCTTTTTAAATGAGGAAGGAAGGATGAAGCCATTTGCAGCCATCTTCCTAGCATTTCATGCCCTAGCTACTTCCCATCAGGTTGCGTGAGCGTGGGCATGTGGCCCCCTTGCTTAAATCGGGGCTTTAAACTCCTTTTCAAATGAATAGAGAAAAAAAATACCTTTCGTTACTGGAAGCTATCGTTTCAATTGCAAAAATATGCAGAGACCAGGAACACCTCAAAGTTCTGAATATCGTGTTTTAGTGTATTTTACATGGCAGGTGTTTATCTTTTTTATTTTTTTTTTTTCCCCTTTTCTTTCTTCCACATGCTTTGGGACAGCTTTTAAGTCACTGGTATCATTAAGCTGCAGCGTCAGCTTGACATGTTTAAACTACGGCCTGATTAAAAGTAAAATTGTGTTTAGAAAGCGTTCTTCTGGACACGTGCGTGCGTGGAGTCAGCCCGCTAATGGAACACCTCGGAGACATTGTGCAGGGCACAGCCACAGCTGTCTGGGGACTTTGGGAAAGAAACTCCATAGATGCACTCTCAGGCTGTTCCCCATCCATTTGGTTCCTGTGTGCTATCCCGAATGGCTAACCTCAACATGTCAGAGCTGTAAACTCTGGAGAGCTAAATGCAGCAGATGTTGTAAAAATTCCTTCTCCTCCGGTCGCTAGCGTACTTGCTTTCTATTGCAGAGCTAACCGAGCCTATCGTTTCGGTGCAGATGGCCAGAAACTCAATCCTACCTGGAGCCGGGAGAGCCTCTTCGGTGTCAGCCCCGCGTTAATGAATCTGTTAAATTAGCCCGTGCTGACACGGTGCACTGAGAGCACTTTGTTGTACATAAGGGCTTGTATTGTTTGATCAGTACATAACTGAAAGGGCATTGATGTATAAAAGGTGCTTGTAGGGCGGCGGGAGGGTATCAGGTGAGGTCAGTGTTTGCGCTGCTGAGGCATCCACTGGGAGCGGGGGCCAGGGAGCTCAACCCCGGCTCCCTCTTTAAAGGGCTACGAGCTGCTCTGCAGGAGCTGCTTTTCACTGTGTTCCCTCCAATAATTGGAGGTGAATAGAAGAAACTGTTTCAGATTAAATATGTTCTTCATCTCGGAAGGTGTGCGAGTTGTCCTAAGTCTGAGTCCCTTATCTTTGACTTCTCATTCTGTTGAAAATGCATAGCATCTCTAGAGAAAATGTAGAAGAGAAATTAAAATAATTACCCCCTGCTCTCAATGAAGTTGTCCTTTGCCCGCTTATATTCCTATCTTAGAATCAGTATAACCCTGGCAAGCAAATTTTAAGGTTTTTTTTTTTTTTTCCCTTCTCTATTGCTGTTGCTTTGTTCATATGAAAATCTTAATTTACACAAAAATTTTCTTGTAGCTTACTTTTAAAAAACAAACAAACACAAACATTTAGCAACAGGGTGGCGATACTGGTACCTTACACTTTTTTTTTGCAGTGAAGTATTAGATCAGAGAAAAGTGATGCATTACTGAAAGAATGGCATCTTTATTGGTCTTGCAAAAATGGGAAATCTAGTGAGGGGGATGAACTTGAACCACAAAGTTCACTTGAAACCTAAATTCTGGAAGGTTGAATGTTGGTGGGAGCTCATTAAAGTAAATATGTTCATTAAAGAAATTAGCATCCTGAATATGTTTTCAAATGAATACAGATACAATGGCATATGCCTGGGATTTACGCGTTACAAGCTGAGAATTTTTCGTTGACTGCTAAATGGACAGGTTTATTAACCTTGTTGCATTAGACAAATGCTATTCATAGCACCATTATTTTGTATTTGCGAATAACAGAGGAGGCTCTGGTTTTGGAGAAAATGGTCCTATTTTAACTAGCTTCTGAAGGAAAAGGGGGGGAAAAAAAAAAGGATGCCTCACCCTCCCCCCCCCAACAACTGGGATGGGTTATCCTGTAACAAACTTGTTGGATAAGGACAGCAATTGAATTTTTGTCTCTTAATGGAGTCAAGTCTGCTTGAATATTTGTGGCCTCGATACAAATGCACACTGAAAGAGAGCTGATCATATCTCTGAGTGAAATATCTATTTGCAATAGATGGAAATAGTTGGAAACATAGGAAACATCTTTCTTCTTCTCTTCCCTAGCAGCCACTTCGGCACTGTATCTACTGCAGTTCTAAAATAAGATTTCTGAAACGCAGTGAAGCGAAGAGAATTAGGATTTATTGTGGTCAGGTGTTTCTGGGAGATAGTTCAATGGGAATAGATCTAGTCAGCACTTGATGCTTTCTTAGAGCCCCTAGGAGGAAAGAGGGATGGAGCAGTGTAAGGTTTTGAACAATGTAGTAATGTCACAGAGGCAGGTTAAGCCTATTAACAGCTTTTGCAGGAGCCAACCCAGGGGCATTTGCTGACAAAATATCTTCTTTCTAATAGAGGACCCTTCTTGGTGGCTTTGGGAAAGTCGTGGCATCCAGAGGAGTTTAATTGTGCTCATTGCAAAACCTCCATGGCTTACATTGGATTTGTGGAAGAGAAAGGAGCGCTGTATTGCGAGGTCTGCTATGAGAAGTTCTTTGCCCCTGAGTGTTCAAAGTGCCAGAGGAAGATCCTTGGAGTAAGTGACCAGCATGGGGCCCGTTTTTAAAGTGGGAACAATAACCACAGTGTTCAGTGCTTCTCTGTAATGAAATTCCGTTTTATCTGGCCCAGCTTACATTCCTCCAGACATACTCTGATGTACCTTTTCAGCTCCCATCACATACTGAATATGTTTTTTGCTCTAATGTTGAGCCTTTTCAGTCTCTTTGAGAAAAGGTGGTGGTGTCTCCTCGGCTCTTCTAAGTTCAGCTCCTGTTTTCACCAAGCTGTTCTGTAGCTGTTGTGATTACTAGATTTTCTTGAGCAAAATGCTTTTAATTGGCAGCATTTTACAAAATTGGAGGGGGGAAAAAAAGAAAAATAAATAATCCTCCTTAGCTAAACTGAGCACTGAGGAACACGCAGGTTGGCTAGATGTGAAGTACTGAAATAGTCCCAGGGGTAGTGTAGAAAGACGCATTATCCTACTCGGCACTAATATCACTAATTTGAGCCCGCCAGCTGATCGTCCACTGCTTTACTGCAGACAGCAATGTCTGGGCTCTTGTGTAACTGGGGTCACGCAGGGATCTGGCGGCGCAATTCTCAGGTCATATTTGGCACTATAGCTTCTTCCAAAACAACACAGAGCAGTCGTGATGTCTTCTGATTAACTATTCACAGGCTCGAGGAGATGTCAGAGATGCTGCTTTTCTTATTTCAAGGGACCATGGTGGGTGAGATCTCAATTAAAATGGAAAAGGCGAACAAACGAGTTTTTAAATCTGTCCAACCCTACGTTGAACCTTCCAAAAAATGAAAAGTTGCTTATGACAAATAAGGAGATGTACCATAAATAAAGCACCTCATTAAGTTTAACATCAGCAGAAATTGAGGGCACAAGCCATTTTCAAAGTAGCAATAGGAAACAAAGTATTCTTGAAACAAATCGAGTGTGGAGGCATGGTCACCACAATCTAGTCATCACATCAAAATAATGTGTTAATAACACTTTTTCTAATCCCCACAGGAAGTAATAAATGCTTTGAAACAAACTTGGCACGTTTCCTGCTTCGTGTGTGTGGCCTGTCATAACCCCATCCGCAATAACGTCTTCCACTTAGAAGACGGCGATCCCTACTGTGAGACGGGTAAGAAGCAACACAACCAAAGTTTACTGCGGCTGGGCAGGGAAGCAGAGCTTGATAAGGTTGGAAAAAAAATTAGAATTCTTTTCTCTCAAGCTACACTTCAGAAGCATCCCAGCAAATTCATGTAACTTTGATATGTCAATTCAAAGCAGCATCAAGTGCTGTAGACGCTTTGAGTTTGCAACAGAAGTTGGTGAGAATTTCTTTATTGGCTTCGGCAGGAGCAGGCTTCTTGTCAGTGGTTTTCCTTGTTGTTCTTGTTAAACCCTGAGCTCTATCAGTGATACAGTAAAGTGTTAATTTTAGAGTGACTTTCTAGTTGGATTTAAAAGAATCTGGAGTTTATGTAAATCTGCTTATTTACTAAACAAGCAAATGCAGTTGAGTAATGTTTTACACTGAATAGCCTTATTCACAGCCGGGAGGGACTTCCAAGAGTAAGCAGTCTGCCCAGGAAGTGTTTTGCAGGATCAGGGGTAACATCTGTTGAACATAAGCTTGGGATGAAAAAAAAACCAAACAGGCTGTCAGGGGAAAAATACAGTGATACAATTATAGCACTTGAAAGCCTGATGAGCAATATTACGTGAAAGATGTGGCTTAGAAGTTCAGAGGCATTATGATTTGGTTTTTAGCACTTCCAGATAATCATATCTTTTTTTATTAATATGAACAGCTTTTATTTATGTTGGTTTCCTAGTTTGCTTAAAAGTTTCCACATACCCTTTCGGGCTATGGAAGAAAGAGATAATGTTTGGAAAACAATTCCACAGTATGGACAAGAAACAAAATTGCATCAAAATCATTTATTTTCACACTGCATGCTGTTTCACATCCATGGTAGAACCATCAGTCATACTTTTTCTGTGTTTTTCCTTCTCCTGTAAGGAGCATTGTAGTTTAACTAGAGGTGGAGGTGAATTGACCAGGAAGAGATTTAGCTTGAGATCCTGGTGTCCTGTTTGGAGCAAAGATTTCCTTCTGGGTTGATCCCACAGTCGTTTGCAGCAGGTGCCATGGAGAGTGCTAGGTACCGAAAGGGTGAGGAAAGCAGGCAAAATTTATCCAAAATTTCTCTGTCAGAGCAGCTTTAATGAGGTGTTGGCAGATAACGAAAGGACGTGGTAGGTTATTGCTAACTCAGTGGCACAAGTGGGGTAACGTGTTGCTCCTATTGAATTAGTGGAGCAGCAGAGGAAACGGATATACAAGCAGCATCCTCCAGTGTGACAGCATGGTGAAATTTCATCCTGAAACAATCTGAAGCTCCTAATCTTGAAACCATTTGATGATTCAAAAATAGTACTGGAGGAATCGATAACTCCCCTTTGGGTGGAAAGCTTGTGACCGGGTTTGTTCTGCTAATATTGAATTCTTGTTCTTGCCACCAAATAACCCATATGTTGTGCGGTGTATTGATTTGTGCTACTGTTACAACTCCTGTGCACAAATGCACACTTTTCTATACTGTGAGCAGAAAACACTGGGATAAAATGTCAAGAATATTATACTTCTTGCAAAGCTTATTTCTGAGATAGAACATTGCTAGCACGGTTAATGTAGACACGTTCTGTGAGGTGTTATTGGCAATGATACATTGTAATGGCTCTGGCTCTCTAACTAGATGTTAATTTGAGATATATTCATTCTTCAAAGACTTTTAGTCCAGCTGGAGTTAAGAGTCTATGACTAATTTCAAAGAAATAAGGAGTAAATGTCATTGCCAACTTTACTTCTTCCGAGTGCAAAGAAGGCTTCTAATTTTAAATCTGTATTTGAAACTATAACAGCATTAGTTATTAGTATTAAGCGGGTTTAATCTGCAAAACGTTCTGGTTTTGGATGTCAATGCTAAAATTAAATTAAAAGTGCAGATATCTACAACTTTGAACTTTTTAAAGTGGAGAGTTAATAACCTAGTTTTGAAAATGCTGTGTGCAGGAAGCATTGATATGTGACTGTATGAGAAGTCTGCCTTGGAAGGCTTCTGTGGTATCGCAATTCAAGCATGCAAAAGCAAAAGAAAGCTGATGCCCTTCATTCTGCCTTATCTATTGCCCTTTCTTCAGAAGAAAAGCCAATAAACTTATCAACACAAACCACAGGCCAACTTACAAAAGTCTTTAACTACTGGCACCAGGAGGGTATCAGAAAAAGATTCTGTACAAACTGGAATGCAAAGAGCTGAAACAGTACGGTCATGAGACTGTGTCCTTCTGGGGTTTTGGACAGAGGTGTTGTACTATTTGATGTTTTTACTGTCTGTCTTCTGCTTAAACGCTTGCAAATTCATGCCAGTAGCATGGATTAATGAAGGCGATCGGTGAAGCGGTTTCTTGACTCTGTCAGCCATCAAGACCTTTGCTTTTCTGGAATGCTTATGTTTCCCGTCCTGCTGAGATGCCTCCTATGATGATGCTTTTTGAGGTCATCATACAGAACGCTGTCCTACTAAACCGAAACAGGACTCTTCCCTCATGCTTGACACATACGATAAGCCTGTGTAGGCTCTGTTGGCGTAAGCACTAGAGCTTCAGCAGATCTCTGTCATCTAGTAGAGGAACAAAATCTCCTTGCACCTTGCTTGCCACTCCTTATAGAACTCCTTGAAAACAACCCCTGACATCTTATTTTCTTCTCAGAGCCAGAGTGTTACTGTTAAGGATGAAATCTAAAGCTTCATTATGGTTGTCATTCTGTCTGTAGTTCATCTTATGAAGATGTAATGTTGCATGACATTATGCATTTGGCATGGTAGCGTGTTGATCCCAAACTCTCTTGTCTTATAGCACTAATGCTGTTTGTCTTCTGTGCAGGAAAAAAGCATTTCCTTCTTAGAATGAGGTGTTTGAGAGTTGAAATGAATGGAAAAGGCCAGGCAACTTGGGGTGAAATTTAGGTCTGCACAGGTGGGCAGCGGAGGGCTGTGGTGACTTGTAGCCCCTGAGATGGCTCTACACGTGGAGAGGCGAGTTTCACACACTGAGACCATGAGAATAGGGGTGGGTGTCACTGACTCCCACCCAAATTTATACATGTATTTTATCCTGCTAGTCTGCCCTGTCTGTCTTTTTCAAGGTCTGCATTCAGTGGGGAATATGAATAGTTCGGTGCCCTTGGTTTTGGTTCCTGCTCTCTGAGACTGCTGGAAGAGATCTTCTCTGCTGGCTCCAGGGGAGCCTCCAGAGGGACCGAGTCAATCCAGTGCCTAAAAATGGATGGTGCGAATACCCTTCAGTGGTACCAGTCAGTAATAACCATCCTGACACCCCACTGATACTTTTTGTTAAATGCAATAAAAGCACTGGCTAAAGCCTCAGGTTTGGGTTTGGTTTGGGGTTTGGTTTTTTGGGGTTTTTTTTTGAAAGAGCCATGTAATAAATTCAGTGATTAGAAAACTATTCTGACTTGATCCAAATTGCTAGCCTCTGTTTAGGACAGAAGCCTAATGATTGTGTGATTTTTTGTGTATTCCAGTCTGGAGTAAATATTGTGCCAGAATGTGGGCAGGAGTTCGTTACTTGCTGAGGGGTCTGTTGTGTGCACAGCCAGGGTATGCTTTCAAGGCAGAGCCGGAGAGAACGTAAGGAGCGCATTTCCCCCGCGAGCACGCTATTGATTTCAAGGAAATGAAACACCAGGAAGATGGAAGCGTTGCTCACTTGAAAGGATAAGGAAGGGGATGAGAACTGAATTAGCAAGGAAAGGAAGGCATCCCAGTCTTTCGATCTAGGAGCTCTTTATTCAGCGTACCCAGCATTACAAAACTTGACAAGTGCAAAGCCACTGCCATTGAGAGAAAAGCACAAAGGTTTCAAAGGGTTGGTCTTGCTTTTCTGTGTATGCTTCATCTTCAAACCTGTTTGTGTTTGCAGATTACTATGCTCTCTTCGGTACTATGTGCCATGGCTGTGAATTCCCCATTGAAGCCGGAGACAGGTTTCTTGAAGCCCTGGGCCACACTTGGCATGACACTTGCTTTGTATGCTCAGTAAGTAAAGCCAGTCTACATTTTAAACAAACCCATGGCAGCAGTGCTTGTGCTAACCTGACCGATACAGGAGTTAACAGCTCAAACCTTTTTCAATCCTCTGAGCCCAAACAAATAGCACTTTCCCAGTTATTTGGAAGGTGTGTTGCTATTGTGAGCCTTTGGCAGCGGTCCAGAGGAGTTGGCCTGGATTGCAGCCATGTGTCCTAGCGTTTAACCCTTGGCATTTACCTCCTCGGAGCAAGCGTTCGAGGCCATACAGCAATGGGCTGCGTTTCTAAAGTGGCAGGAGTGCTTTTGACCTAAAGACACTGTAGCCAAAGTATTACCTGCTCGTATTTTATGACCAAAAGAAAGCCCCAATCCTCACGATGGGGTGGTTTTTTGGTTTGGGTTGTTTTTGGTTTTTTTTTAAATGCCAAACCTAACTCTGCTCCCAGTTAAGAGCCAATTGACTTAAAGAAAGGAAGGTTATGTTTACATCAACCATTAGTATTGCATCTAAATGAGTATCCCTGAGAAAAACATAATAATTCTTATTCTTTGAAGATATTTGTGCGTAGTACGATGCCATGATTTGGCATTCTGAATAACATATGCAATCCATCCATCTGAATTGGGTGATAATTTCTTTTTTTATCCCATTTCAGGTATGTAGTGACAGTTTGGAGGGTCAGACTTTCTTCTCCAAGAAGGACAAGCCACTGTGCAAGAAACATGCCCACTCTATTAACATCTGATGCTGGAGTTCATCTTGTGTAACAGATATACTGAGCAGAAAGAAAGGTTAAAATGTCCATGTTCAACAATTGGTTAAAATTATTTATGTATGTTTTTCTAAAAATGGAAGAGAAATGTGGAAACATGGGGGGGTTGGGGGGGGAGTTGTATGCTAATTTTTAGAGCTTTTATTGGTTAGGGTTTTGCTTCACAAAAAGATAGGAATTGGGAATTACACCCAAGTCAGACGATTACAGTGCCTTTACTTCTATCCTTGGCACATTACTGTATTGGTTTCATGATTTCATGGCCACATTTATACATGCTTCCGTATGAGAAGTGAAACCTCTGTGAAAATAAATATCTGATGTTAGAAGTCTTGGGTTTGCTGCTATTCAACAAATAAAAGGAGATTGGCTTCAGCAATCCGGATCACATTATTGCGCTGATGTTTTTTAAAGCGTGTCCAGAAGTATTGCAGCTAAACTCCATTAAAGAGGAACACAAAGCAAAGATAAGGTTATATGGAATATATAGTTCAACAGCTGATGATTTCATCTGATACTCATATGCAGGAAGCCTCCTGCACAATTACACATCCCTGTGCCTTTGGCAGTTAAATCTCTGGTGGGTCTGCAAAGGACAGAGACTTTAACAAAGCAGTGAGGTGGAGTGGTGGCTATGCTGGTGAACAAGAATAGTTTAGAAGCTGCTGCTTAGAAGAAAACGTAAATGGGATACTCTTCCTTAACTCACGTGCTACCGGAACACCAGCCAAACAAACCTGCTCGTGAGGGTGTGTTTGACAGGATGGAAATGTCAGATCAGATCTTAGCAATAAGGGGGGGATGGGACACGACGACTTATACTCTTGTGTTTGCAGTTCAGGTTTTTAGATAGTTTTGAGTGCCTTGGAAAGGGGAAGTTGCACTGAATCTGCAGGTAACAGTGTTTTATATCCAGAATGTGAGACTCTGGTGTTGCAGGAGGCAAACTGCTGAAGTGCAGCTGAGGACATTGTTTTTCTCTCCCTACATTCTTTACCATGTAGCTCATGAATATGTATATTGGTGGTGTGCCCGGTAGTGTACCAAAAACTTACTTTCTTGCTCAGCTGTTAGGATTTTTATTGCTTTAGGTTTTATTTCTCTCTTCTTTTCCCTCAGCTGTAAGGAATATATTGTTAAATAATATAATATTGAGTTAGGCAGCTCAGTATCTCTCAGTTCTTGCAAGGGAGCAGAGAGACAATGCTGTCATTATGCACATACTGCGAGCCAGGAGGCTTAGCCAGTTCTGTGGCTTGTTATGAGTTTTGCCTTCATACAGAGACTCAGCACAAGGCCTGTGCACCAGCTAAGTCCCACTTAACTTCAAATTAGGGCTTAAGTGGTACGGAGCAATTGTAGGCAGATAGGGAAGAGGTGGTGACCCTCTGCACGGGGCGAATTTTGCTCCGGCAGAGTTGCACAACAGAGAAGGGGGCCCTTTCCTGAAGGAAACGGAACTTACATGCTGTTTAATTCAACTGGGATGTCAGAGCTGAATTGTTAGTCTTTAGGCTCTTTCCAGTAGGCCTTAAAAGTAACCATTTACTGGTTTTTGAGGGGGTTTGTTTTGGTTTGGGGATTTTTTTTTGGTGGTTTGTTTTGTTTTTACTGATACAAAGGACAGGTTTATCCATAAAACCATGGGGAAAATCACAAAAAGTTGCCATGGTTGAGTAAAGCAATTGTAACCAGGATCAACAAAAGAGGAGGAAAGAAAACCAAAATTGCTGTACTGAAATGTGAAAAGCTATTTGGTTTTCTTATTAATTCAGTGAGACAGGTTGACATTGTGGGGCTGTTTCACTTTATATCCTGAAATTGTTTTTCTTCAATACTACCACGTTTCTTTTTTAACTTCTGGTGGTACGGAAGAAATGGCATAAAGCTGTTTAAAATGTTTACACACTTGTAGATGTACCCTTTTGTGAGTTTGGCTAAAATTCAGAAGGGTAGGAGCAGACTGATTAAGATACACCAAGATATGAGCCAGGTTGCTTTTGAAATTAGGTGGAAAGTGGAGAAATGAGACCTAGAGACTAGGTTTCAGTGCAGCTATATTGCACATGCGTCAGGAAAGAAGATGGGAAAGCACGGGATAAGGCATTTGGTAATTTCTGCAATTCAAACCTTGCTGTTTTAAAATAGGATAGAAAGTTTTCGGTTTGTCAGTGTCCTTAAAATCAAATTGATTTTGTTTAGTTTTGTAATTTTAATTGGAATTGTATTTCTTAATCCTTATGCTCTAGGGTTTGAAATTTTGCAGTTGTTGATGAATTTGAGGATAAAAGCCTGGAAGGCTCCAATAGTACTGCTTCATTTAGCTGCTTTGCCCTTTAATTTCTGCTTTTATCTATTTGTTTAAAATTTAAAAGGAAGCATAGAGTCACTGATACATAAATAATATTTAATGGCTCTACCAAATTATATAAATCAACTAAAAGGAACATAATTTTTATCATTATTTCTATAAGTGAGATTTTAGTAGAGCACTTTATAATAATGCCATATATCTCACTGAATATTTATTACCTTTTCTTGTTTAGGTCTATTTCATACTGGTATATTTGTATTTTGTTTTATTTGTAAGCCTGCATATTTACCTCTAGAATATTTTGACGTGTGAGTGTGTGTATGTGTATGTATATATACTGCTCTACACACGCATATATATGCGTGTACATTGAGAGACATACGTATATATACACATATACATATGTATATTTGACCACAGACTTGACATAGCAAAAATCAGCACCGTTCCATCGTCATTTGGGGATTTCATGAGATTCCCAACTATTTTTCATACAACACATGTATAGCATTCATGTTTTGAGGGAATGTTAGAAAGTCAGGAGAGACATGTTAGTAGCCTAACTACTGTAGTTTTTTGCATGCATTTTCAGTCAGTAATTATTTTTCTTTGAAAACTGTGCCTGTAAAAGAATCGAGTTTCACTCTGTTTGAAGGTAAAAGGTATTCATAAGTGAATAATTTTATGAATGATGACAACAGTTTCAATATATTGTAACTAAACAATTCAGAATTATGTGTAAATATAAATGCTTAATATAACAATGCAATAAACTTAAAGCAAAAGCTGAGTTGTGGTTCGGTGTGTTGGTCTGTTCAGTTGGGTACCTCTTTCTTCATGGAGCTACTCGCGTCATCTAGCCACATGAGTGGCTTTGCAAACCGGAGTAAGAAGGGGAACTACATCAGTTCACAGATTACTTGTTTGAATTTCTGGGGTTTTTTTTTCATTGTTTTACACTAAACAACCAGCTGTTAAGTCCTGGTGAGTTGCTTGCTTGTGTTTAATAGTCTTTGTCATCAAATTTTGGCTGTTCACACTTGCAAATTTAATTACAAGTAAAATACAAAACAAAATAAACCCAACACAAAACCCCAAACTCTATCTGTCCTCAGTTGTTTTGTGGTTGTTGGATGTTTTCTTTTTCTGAATCATAGTCAGTAAAAGTAAGTCATGATTGTGCATGTGAAAATGTATCATTTAAGTTGCTTGTTCTTCAGTTTTTTTGGAGATTTGCTTTACAGAAGAGGACCTGGAGATCCTGGTGGACACCAAGTTGACCATGAGCCAGTGATGTCCCCTTTGTGACAAGGAAGACCATCAGCCTCCTGGGCTCCATTAGGCAGAGCATAGCCAGCAGATCAAGAGAGAGGATCCTTCTTCTCTGCTCAGCCTTGGTGAGACACATCTGGAGTACTGAGTCTAGTGCTGGTCTTGCCAGTACGAGAGGCATGGATGTCCTGGACTGAAAAGCCAGGAAGATGATTAAGGGCTTGGAGCATTTGTCATACAAGAGAGGCTGAGAGAGCTGGTACTGATCAGCCTGGAGAAGAGAGGGCTCAGGGGAGATCTCATCCATGTGTATAAATACCTGGAGGGGGGGAGTAAAGAAGATGGAACCAGACTTGGCTCAGTGGTACATAGTGACAGGACAACTGTGAGGATGGTCAAACACTGGCACAGGTTGCTCAGAGACATAGCACAGTCTCTGTCCTCGGAGATACTCAAAACCCTACTGGACATGGCTCTTGGACTAGACAAGGTCCCTTCATCTCCAGAGGTCGTATCCAAGTTCAGTGAATCTCTGATTCTCCGTCTTTTCTCAGGATGGAGCAGAAGATGGAAATACGGTATTGAACACTGTAGAATATGTAACAATGTAAAACTCAATATTGTCCAATTGCTATTTATTTGCTATCTTTACTTCAGTCTACTGCCCAACTAGAATACTTTGCAATGCTTGTTTGGAAGTGTTCTAATATTTTTCCTAAGTTGAGACTGTCCAAGAAGATACTTCCTGCTCTGGCAAGCATTGTCTGATCCTGTACTGAGCCTTGGCACGCAGCAGTCTCCACTTTCACCACAGGATACTTAACTGTCTACTATAGCATGGCCAATTACTTCATGATAATACCAGCCTGGTAAGACTCTCCTTAGCTGAGGATCTCTTAAATAGGCAAATGCACTGTTGTTTTCTCCCATTATTTACACAAGCAAAGGAAAACACTGTGCACAGCTCTATAAAATTTAGAGGCAACTTTACAGAAAACTTGCCTCCCCTTCAGTGTTTAGGCTATGAACGAGACAAATGCAAGTCTATTTGCAAACAGTATATTAAACTCCAGAAGCCAAACTTTTAAAGGCATCAAGTCTGCATTTGACGTTTTAATGGCAAAGGTTTGGTTTCTATCAATCACAACGTCATGTAACATTAAAATGCACCGACAAAAAAAAAAAAGAGATCTGTCATTCATTCATTAAGACACTGTAATCCAGTGTAAGATTTATAGGCTTAAAACTCAACAGTGTGTTTTCACAATAAATCCACTTTCACTGCTCGGCACAGAACAAATCTCTCTGTCACTCAAAATGTTTGCTGGTCAAAATGCCCTGTATGAGATCTTCAAAGGGTTTCTCACAAAATTGCACATAAATCCTT